TTTCTATTACTAACTTCTTCCCTTTTATAGTTAGACACAACCATCTTCATCAGCTAGAGGTGTTTGAGCTTAGAGTGCGTGAGTTTAAGACCTACGAGTCCGCCTCCAGGGCCCGTTTTTTCGGGGTTGGTGAGCTGAGGAATGAAGCCGGGCGATTAATGGGAGTGTAGCGCGTGCTCCCAGAGTGTGACGCATGGTTGTTCCCCTCGTTGTGGAGCGCACACGCGAAGAGCTCCATCGACTGGTCCTCTGATTGGCTAAGGCGATGACCTAGCGTTTGCATTGGGCATGCGTCTAAGCCCTACTTTTTCCCCTTGGAGAAACGGGGATTTTAGCAAAACTTGCTACCAATTATTGCAACTTTCCCTGCATCAGATATTTCTACTGCCTTAATTGCGTAATCCACTTTAAATACGGAGCGTTAAATAGGCTTACAGTGCGCCCATTACCTCCACAATTAACAGTTGAAACGTTCGGTCAGTTATGCTAAATCTGATGGATTGAGTGCAGCACTTAACAGTAGGATTTGTAAATGGATGCAGTTCTTGTATGCACCTCTCCAAATGCGCTATTTCCCTTCAAGGATAGCCCTAATCGCTTTCGTTTTTTGCTAAAATCTATCGGGTTGTCCCGATTTTAACACTTAACAGCGTTTTTTTCGGGGCTTCAAAATCTCTGGTGCTATAACTTTTAGACTGCGCTGTCTGATTCGCCCCAGTATGCGCCTAATACGGCTAAGACCATCGCTGCGAAATTTTCAGGCAAGCATGAGAGATTTCATTAAATCAAATCCCCCGTCAATTTTAATAACACGCCTTTTGTTTTAGCCGGTACTACAGATGATCAGCAGTCTCCGAGGCCTAAGTGAGTTTCCACAATGCTTACATTGACTCACTATAATTGTTTTTTTCTTATTTCCTTGGTTCTTGATGTCTTTTGAAACACTTCACGCGCGCCCTTAAATTTTTAAACGATTGTTGTCTGGTTCAGTTTCATCAGTCCTATTCGTGAATATTCAGTCTGGGCGTAGTTACACCATAGGGAAGGAAGACGGAAAACGCGAAATCGGCTATTATCGTATCTTAAACGCTAATCCCCAAGTTCATTTGTAAAAGCTTTGCGGGACGGAAAGTGTCTGGTGTTTCCACGCAATAATTTAATCATGTCGTATGCGTGATTGCTTGTCTGGATTTTCTGCCAGGGCTTAAAATGTGATGAAATGTAGTGCAGTAGTAAGGTGGTATTTCTGTTTATCAGGGTGTCCATGGAACCCACGGAACAGTGGCCCAGCCAGGGTCAGGCACGGGGTCTGATCGCCAAGTTTTCGGCCATGCACTCTTGAAGGCCCTTCCATTCTACCCCGTCCCCTGTTATTAGTAGTATTGCTCTGAACTAACACTTAATCATTCCGCCTACTTTGCTACTACTGCTGCTACTGTCCACGTTTCTTACATCGAACTCGCGTACATTTACAGTGACAATCTACATTTTGTGGCCATACCTTCATTTTGTCGTAACTCACCGCATTTGATTCTCCCTGCTCTGTTGCCCGTTTCCTACCCATTTTCCGTTGTTTTGAGCGCCGAAAACCACGCTTTAATAAATCCCATGGCGTCATTGAAAACAAAGCATCATTGGAATGACTCACTGGACGTTCTGGAGGCCATAGTTAGCCTTAGTACTTGTGACGCACCCAGTGTCTACATTTACTACGGCAGTTAGGTGAGAAGGCTATGCAAAAGCTTAAAGGTTGAATGAATTGAACTGTGCTCAGTTATGCTATGTAGTTTCTTTAGGAGCAGAGATTTAAGTCCCTCATGAAAACCAACTCGTAGACGAGTACACTTATCTTCCACATTGCGACTGGCTGTGGTGTCCGTTCGGTACGGAAAGTTAATTAGTCTCCTGAGTTGTGGCAAGGTGAAGGTTTAGGTGCTCATAAAGTTGCTAGTTACAGGCGCGTAGTATATCACCTATTCGAAGAAATGCCTTTGGGAAAACACAGAAAACCAAGGAATGAAGACTTAGTAAGAAGTACTTAAAAACTGAAATGTGGCTGAGCATAGAGATTCTCGCTCATTTCTACATGTAGCCAAACCCGACGATCCTGGGCAAGTTCACCAAATGAGCTGCCATAGGGAGGACCATCTGAGAAAAATATTTGATTCCAGGAATGCTTTGTGCACATAACTTGCCACAGTTGATACGTAAAATACTTTTAGGAATTTTTTGAGGAAAGCGTCAAACAGTTAAACTCAGCAGGTTTAGATGATTGAGAGGAGAAGTGGTTCACTGTCACGAATATATATGTTCATTCATTTTCAAAATACCCAAATATTATAATAGTATTAATTGGGACCAGTATTTTAAAGCATTTGTCAATTGGTGAAATAGATTTGCATTTTTTGGTTTTAAACTATGGAAAAGTTTTAAGTAATTTTACTAAACCTTAACACCGCTAGAATTGAGGCCTACGTGGGGCCGCTTTTCCCTATGGGCAATCCGGGATTGGTGCTTAGAATTAGTCAAGTTGATGTTTAGAAGCTAAAATGTTGTTAAAGATCTTGTCTAAATAATGACACGTTTAGGATCCACTTCTTAAGTGAAGGTATTAGTCAGTGCAATTCACGAATACGTGTTTAAACTACTGAAGCTGTTGGCGCACA